AATAGAAAGGAAAGAAGGTAAGTGTGCCGTATTCGGAGTCCTCTGTTCAAGTTACCTAGACAAAAAAAAAGTATCCGAAATATCGAACGATATTCGAAGAAAAAGGAAAGGAAAAAAGGAAAAAGTTCTCAATACCTATGTGTTAATTTTTGACTGTGTACATATGAACCGTAGTTACTTCCAGATTTATCTACTTCTCGTTGTTCCTCTTACACACGGTGTCTTCTATGTATATCATTGTAAACCACGACAGCGAGATTTTTCATTTACTGATCTGAGATTCTCTTTTCTGGCAATTTCAGTGAAAGCAACGCAGAGATACTCGATACGAGACCGATACGAATTTCAACGTGGTGTGCTGTGCGAAAGGAGTGGAGAACGGTGATACGATGTTCGATGTGGAAGTGAAACGAATAACCAGTGCAGTGGTGATATTGTTCGTAAATGGAGAAGTGACGCGCGAATACTGTGAACGAATTAACGCAATTTTAATTTTACCAATATACATATATATACATATAGCATACTCGCGTGTCGTGTTCGCCCGCGATAAACAATTTCCAAGCATATTTGTACATAACATTAGGACGATATTTTAAGTGGTAAACGCGAAGTGACGATTTTCTAAACGAAACCAAAAACAAAAAAAAAAAAAAGTAAGAGAGACAGAAGAATTCGCACCAAAAGAAATAAAAAGAAAAAAAATACAAAACGAACCTAACCAAATGAACATAATGCGAGAGAGAGAGAGAGAGAGAGAGAGAGAGAAAGGAGGAACTTCGAACTCGTTCTCGATAGAAAGAGAGGGAAAAAAGTTTTTAGCCGAGAAAAAATATCATCGTCAGAGCGTAAAAATTTATTGTAAATACTATTAACGATAATAATATATATATGAATTCGCGATACGTATGCGCGCAGGTGTTTCAAAAAAAAAAAAAAAAAAAAAAAAAAAGGAAAAAACAAAAAAATCAACAAAGAAACTGGTGAGCAATTTTGCCTTTTGAGATCGTCTCCGTCCTCGTCGTTGCCTATTCCCACAGATTCGCGACTTCGTGCGTCGCGACGCCTACCACACCCTTTTAAAACGCGTCGATTTTTACTACCGAAGCTCGGGAAACGAAACGGAAAAAAAAGAAAAAGGAGAGAAATTCGATCGCGCGTTTCGATCCGCCGCGAGTAATAATCGTTATTAGTCGCGATTCACGAATCGTCGCGGAGGTAAACAAGTTCGGGGATCAACGAGGACGTTGATGTCGTGAATTAGCGAATTGTTGTTGAACGTTAAAGTAGCCCATCTTTCAAACTATTTTGCATGAGAGAGACAGCGTGTGCGTGCGTGCGCGCGTGAGAATGTGCGCGTGAGTGGGACGAACGAGAGGATGCGCGCGAGAGAGTGTGATAGGGTGATATGAGAAGGTAACACGGTGAAAGGAGAGGAAGGACGCTAAGCTAATATATCGGCTGTCGTGAAAATATTGTGATTCTGGTTAGCTTTTATTTGCAACTGTCGAGACCTCGCGTAGCACGAGAACGAACAAAGGGGAGAGAGAAACGAGCAAACACAATTTATTAATCGGACGTTAACGCGTTAAGGGTAACAAGCCGCGTGTATACATGCAATTTTACGACTTTTATTCTCTTCATCGACTTGCACTCGACTTTAACGACGAGAAACCGCTCGTTTTTTTTAACGTGAATATTTCACTCAACGAACCGCCCACGTAATTTCTTGCATAACAATTATAGACGGACACGGGACCCGCGGAAATCGTGCCCGAAACACACACGTACACACACACACACACACGCCGCTGACGAATCTTTTACGGAAGCTGTTTAATAATAAATGAAACGCTCGTGTTACTCTCTGTGAATCGACGAGAGGAAAAGAAACGAAGACGAGCGTTTACGAATCTCACACAATCGATTTTATATCTCTTAATTCTCATGTTATGTGTTCGATCTTTGTCTGTGGAGAAACTTGTCCGGTCACATTGTGTACACACAGAGAACTCGACGATGAGCATGCACGTGTACGTAGAGAATGTTCTAGCATATTAAACACTTGGCTGAACGGAACCGTGATTTTGATTTTTAACGCTGACTGTGCTTGCAACATGTAAATTCTCTTTTTTGCTAAACGAAACCGGGGGTAATAAAGATGACTGTGGAAATATATGAGAGAGGGAGAGAGAGAGAGAGAGAGAGAGAGAAGGTAACGCAACGGGGAACAAGGAGAAAAAGAATGGGATTATTAAGAGGAGTTGCTCGAGTCGACGATCAGCCAATAAATACGCTCTGCTTTCTTTATTTTCTTCTTGATAACGCACGTATATTGTACATTACGCAATTTATTAGAGAACAAACCACGCCTGTGATCGTCTTTTCTCGTCGCGAGAGAATTCAGTTCGTTCCCTTACATCGCTTCACTCCTCGTTTCTTCCTCTTTGAAAAGGTACTCCTTGGACATTGATCCAAGTCACTGAAATAGACCACGTTTTCTCGCTTTTCGAGATGTTCTACCGCGGAACAGTGTACTTGGAAATAACTCGAGAATGCAAGATTTGAGTTCAAGTGAAAATTTGAAAACTTCACTTTCCTCTTTCAAATCGTGTGTATATGTATGCAGATAGATAGGAATTTTGTATTAAATTGTTCGAAGTCAGTGACCTCTGTGTCGATATCTCTTCTAGATTTTTTCCCCAATTTTTGCCAGACGTCTGCTTTTCCTATTTTCAAATTTCCCGCGAAAATTCTCTCGGTTGCCGCTCGCCTTTGCACTCTGCCACGTTGCTCGCAATTCTTTCCACGAAATTCCCGCGCGAACGTATTCGAGCGGAACGTTTCTCGCGATAGCGAGGCTTCTTTTAGCTCGAATATCGAGGACAAGACGGACAAACAGCTCGATCGTTTCGCGACCAATAGGTTACAAACGCATCAAACCGGGTGATCGATCGACCATTATTACGTGGACAATGTGTAAAAAGAAATAAAAAGAAAAAGAACACTCGATATCTTGTCGTGTCTATAACGTGCTTGAATTAGAGGACGAACAAAAGAAAACAACGTGCAGCATACGAAAGACGAAAAACAGAGGCTTTTTTTTACTCGTGAAATGAACAAAATACATACAAAAGCGAAGTTTAAAGTAGAGCTCTATCAGACGACTCGTGGCGAACGTGTATAAATGTAAAAACAGTCTCGAAGTGAGCAAACGAGGACAAGAATGAGAGAGAGAGAGAGAGAGAGAGAGAGAGAGAGAGAGAGAGAGAGAACACAATATTACTACCGTAACACGATTTCTAAGTAAAACGATGGAAAAATAACACACACACACATTTTGCAAGTGCATGACTTATATTAGTAGGTTCTTGGGACAATGACTAAGTAATTAACCCACACGCAAAATATGAACTCTGTACTAGTGGATAACACTCGAATAAGGGATTAAAAAAAAAAAATATACGAAGACTACGAATTATGTAACAACGTTCAGTTTGTAATCCGCCGGTTACTTGCGACTGTAAGATTCTTCGCGAAATTCCTTCCACCGCCGTTTTCGAGATGATTTCTTTCCACTTTATTTGTCGTAACGATAATCAGGTTTAAATTTCGTTTGAAATAAAGTTTTCACACAGCTCGGTTAAAGTTCAACTTTTCCGTATAAATACATTTTGTCCGCGTTAAGATGTTAGTAGATATGAAAAAAAAACAAAACAAATCGGTGGGAAAAAATTTCGCGAAGGTCCTATCGTTGCGAAACTGTTAACGCTTAACGATATAAAATACTGCATATCCTATACAAAAACGTAGGACTTTCATAAATAGTAGCCGGTTTCAAGAAATTCGAAACGGGAGAACGAAGAGTAAAGAGGGGGTTTGCTTTTTTATACTTATATCGACGGGGTAATCTGGAGGGCAAAGTAACGAGGACGTCTGTCAATTCTCGTGGAAAATTTCGTCGGAAATTTTTTCGAGAATGCACGAACGTACGTTGGATACGTGAGAGCCAGAGCGAAACGGATACGAAAAGTGATAGACGAGATATAATACTGTCTTTGATTTCACGTGACTTTGATCTAATTACTTCTACCTTGACTTTCTTCGCAGCTCCAACTTTGTACATACCATGTTTTTTATTTAAGTATTTTATAAGTATTACGTTTAACAACGATATTGTATAAGATCGAAAGAAAATTCCGCACTGTATAAGAAAAAAATTAAAAATGCTTGATTTGTTTGTTAGCTTTGGAAATTCTCGGATATAGGTGAAAGATAAACAAAACTTTTACGCGATGGGATAACGCGAAGAGAGTTAAGGTGAAACTCGTTAATTTTCACACTCTTGCCATGCCCATTTGTACATAGGCATGCTCAATCTTAGGATCGAACACGCATCGTGAATCACATATATATTATATATACACATATACATACAAATAGTATTAACTACGAAAAAAAACGAACAAATTAATATCCGACTTTGTACCTATATACTTATAATTAACTTAAACGAAGACCGAAAAAGAGGGGTGATAGGAGACAAAAAAAAAAAAATGGAAACAACTTTTGAACAAATATATCGAGTCGAACGTGGAAATGGCTGACACGAGATAGAAAGGGGGCGTATTAAGTATAAACTAGCGAGAAAAAAAAAACAACAAATAAATCGAACGAGAAAAAAATGGTAGAAACGAGTAAGTAATAAAAATTGACACGGGATGAAAATAAAGAGATAACCTGAGAGCCAAGGGGTACCACTTTTGTCAAATTTAGAGAGCCAATTTAGGTTTACGATTTACGATATAGGGTGTGCGAGGAAGAACGAGTGCGAGAACAGAAAGAGAGCGAGAGAGACAGAGACAGGAGAGAGAAACGACAAAACAGAGGGACACTGTCAACGATTTCTTTACAATGAAATTCATTACTTACTTAAAAACAAAGAGAGAACACTTCGTAGAGACGATCCAGCGTAGTGTAGGTGTTCCTGTAATCTTGCGTCGAACGGCACCACGATCGAACACGTGTCTCGAATTCGTTGCTTTCCAAACACTGAACTTCACCGAGCCGCGCACGAAAAGCGAAAGAAAGCAAAGCACTGAACGATCGTTTCGACGGAACTCACGAATCTCAAATAGACTCTTCCAATTCGTCAAAACTTAGGTCATGTGATTTCCGGCACAACTCTATTCACGTAGTTACATGCGCGGCAAATACGCGACGAAATCGACGCACGTATCGATCGTAAGATCACACGGACACTGATTCTCGATTTATCGAGAGCAGGCAACTTCGTTCCGTTCGAGTGACGCGGTAACCGCTCGAGACGGTTTCTAATTTATCTGTGCGACAAAACGTCCGGATTTATTTCGAAAAGGAACACGGAGGAGTGCGGGCGAGAGAGAGAGAGGAAGAGAGAAAGGTAGAGAGCGTGGGATAAACACGAGAAAAGGTGCGTCATTTTCGTTAACAAAATAAACAAAAAAAAAATCGTAACGTGAGAGAGAGAGAGAGAGAGAGAGAGCGAGAGAGAGAGCGAGAGAGAGAGAGAGCGAGCGAGAACAAAACGAAGAAATACAAAGGCGAAAAGAATTTAAACAGTACGATTAGACGACGTTCCGTGGGTAACTAAAAAAAAGAACTCGGCCGGGAACTCCTCCGACGATTTCTTTTTCTTTTCGTCCCCGGGGAAATGTCCGGGATCGATGCAGAATCGACTACTGCAGATCCCTGACGTGAACCGTTTTTAAAACCGTAGTTCTGTATATATCACTGGTTCGGCCAGTCGGTAAAAAAGTACGAAGTGCAGCACTGCTACGATTCGAGGAGTTCATGGCGGGATCTACGCGGAACGATTAATATAAAAAAGCGTTAGTGACTGTATCCAGTATAATATATCTGATAAAAGATAC